TTCTAAGGAACTGGCTGAGATGAAGAAGAAAAATTGGCCATGAGTGACTGCGAGATGCAGCTGGAGTGGAAGAACAGGGAGAAAGGGGGGCAGAGCTGGGTCAGGAAGCCTCCAGAACTTACTCTGCATTTCCTACTTGACCTTGGCATCCCTGCATGCTCTGGTCTCATTCAGCTCTGATAAATCTTTCTGCCCCCCCACCCCTCCCTTGAAGGAGCTAAAAACAATTAAGAATTTAAAAAATTGAGCTCAAGGACAGAAAAATATAAACTGCTCCAGTCTGGGGCTCATGAGACTGCAGACCACCCAGGTCACGGGCCTTGTCCTCTCCACCATCTCCACCCCCCACAGTGTCCAGCTCAGCTCTTCTGTCACGTGGATGTGAGTAAAATACCTGCCAGTGAAGCCAGGGCCACGGCTGCTCCAAGACCCTCTAGGAGACAGTCTCCCTGCTCCTCCATGTCTAAGATGGAGCAGGCCCTGCTTATCGGCGGCTTGCCCTCTGCACTCTATGACTGTGCTAAATCAGAGTAGGATCCCTGGAGAAGAGAGCCTGGTGCCCACAGAGTAAGGTCCCTGGAGAAGAGAACCTGGTGCCCACAGAACCTGGGGCTTAGTCACCCCACCCCCAGGCACATGTCCTGAGTCTGAGGGTCCCAGCCCAGACGCCTCCCAAGTCCCCTGATAAAGGGTCTTGTTTGTATCCTTACAGACCTTCATCTCGCTAACACAGTGAATGGAGCTTGTCTCCCAGGCACTCCTCCGTGGAAAGGAAGAACCCTCTTTGTTAATATATTTCTGCCAGTGCTTCAGCATCGCTTCCTTCTGCTCGCACCCGTGTTCTGTGGGGTTGTCTGAATGCACAGGGCAGGTTGATGTTGCCTCTGGGTTACTGGCTTATCACAGGACATCTCACCAATAAGCAAATCTGTGGGCAGACTGGGAGCTCCTGTTTTCCTACATTTTGCCAGAGAACATGTTGTACACTTGGAGCCCATCATTTTAAAATCCCTTCTGAAAGAGTCTTCAGAATGTCTCCACGGCACGAAGGCCTCTTGCCTGCAGCTGCCTTTCTTTCCTTCCTCCCCCGGCACACCCTTCCTCCCCCGGCACGCCCTTCCTCCCCCTCCTCTCCCTCCCTTGCCTGTCTCCCTGCCCCTGCGTCCCTCCCTTCGCCTCCACAGTCAGCACTTTGGCTTCCCGGCCGCCAGCAAAGAGGATTAACACGTGTGTAGCCTTCTGCCCCTCTCTCTGCAGCACAGAATCAGATTTGCAGCCAGACCTGGAGACGACAGGAAGCCCTGCGGTTTCCTCGGTCTCCAGGCACTTAGCAACCAAGATTTGCTCTGCTCTAAGACTCTCCCCAGCATCAAAGTGGGGAAGAGAGCAGTGTCACACCACCTTCAGTGGGCTCCAGATGGGAGGGGCATCAGAATCTGCTTCCCGTTTCTTAGCAAAGGAACTGTGTTGGCAGGATGCATAAAGAACCCTAAGGCTCTTTAGGGTTCGGATGCTCAGCCTCGATGGACCCTGCTGAGCCCTGTGCTCCAATGAGGAGGTGTCCTTCAATGCATGCCCCACAGAGACCTTGGCTTGGAGCACTCAGTGGCCCTTGTTAACCTACTGGCCACCTCACAGGCCCAGATCATTCTAAATGTGCAAGAGGGAGCCAAGGGCGGTGGTTGGCCTGCCTTTCAGCTTCACTACCCAGAGTGCAGGCCCCAGACCTGCAGCTCGGAAGTACTCGGGCCCTTGCTGGGAACACAGAATCCCAGGCCCCACTCTAGGCCCAGTGACTCGGATCTATATATACATTTTAAACCCCAGCAGAACTTGTATGCAAATTAAAATCTGAGAAGCGCTCACTTTATAGCACAAACTTGGCAAATTCATTTTCTCACTTAATGAGGGAATATTATCATAATGATCCCCATTTTGCATGAAGTACTCTCTTCCTTCCTTTCTCTTTGCTGTCACATATCCATCCATAAAGACAGCATTACAGATAGTGAAAATAAATTCCCTGTAATTCCCCCACAAAGGGCCCAGGAACGGCCCCACTCTCACAAATGCGGAGAATCACCCAGGGTCCTAGCACACCGGCCTGTCTCTCCTTTGAACTGAGCCCTTCGTTCTGGGCAACCATCATCCCTACATTGACTCGTAATCATTGACCTGCTTCATCAGGGCCTTTAAGGCATCTGCCGGGTCTACACCAGCAGCACAAGTGGTCGATCCCATTATCTCCAAGGAGAGAGGTCAGGGGTCCTGCCTGAGGCTCCTGCCCGGACCACTGCACATTGCTCATTTGTTTGGATTAATGTGTGAGGTTTAGTTACCTGTGGTGAATCCACTGTAGTACATTTTGAAAGTAGAGGAGAGCCTTCAGAGTAGGAAGCCAACTTTGGATCCTGCCGTGTTTATTCGTTGCAGAAACCTACAGTGCCATGAGTCTGGAAAGCCTTTTGGGCGTGTTTGATTTCATTGCTGTTTAACACTTATTAATACTTAGACCAGGAACCCAGCATTATTTCGAAAGTGAGGCAACACTCATCTTTATTGGACTCCCTGAAATAAGTGACCTTAGAATCTTAGAATTAAATCTGACATTCTGTTTAGCCTAAGAAAAATAAGGACAGGAGGATGAGCTGTATCTATCGCTCTAATGAACATTGAGGAATGAAAATGGAACTAACCCGGATGATTGCATGTCTGATGGGGTAGAGACCTGTGACCAGCTCCATCACTTGGAGATCCCAGCAGACAGGGCCCTGCCCCAAGTCCCAGGAGGAGCCGTGCTCTGGAGTGTCCTCCTTGAAATCTCCTAAGTTCCCCTCTGCTGCCTGAGACCAGCCTAGGCCAGTACTACCATTGAGGAAAGACACTCACATTTGAGACTGGGAGTGTGGACCTGCCCCAGACCCCATTCCTCCCCTTCAGGGCACATTTCCATCCCCTCTCTCCACCACTCCTCACATGAATTCAACCAGATTTGCCGGGATCACAAAACTCACACCTATGGGCTTGTCTCAAGGTCCTTTCAAGAGGTCCAAGTTCCAAGAGGGGGGCCAGGCAAAGGAAAACTTCTGCTGGTCAATGCAAGACTTCTTTAATGAGATTGCATGAGATTGGGTTACCAGATGGTACTAATTTTAGGTGAGTCAAATGTTTACACTGAGAAAGGTCCCTTGAAAAATATATGACTGGGGCACCACACCATCTACAGATGACCTTGGTAACCAGCATCCAGACACTGATGGCAGAGCCTGGGTGGGCATGATGTGGGGTGGGGAGGGAAGCAGGGAAGCCAGCAAGAGCTGAAAAACAAGCCTAGGGAAATGGCTAGAGTGGGTGGAAACTCCCCAAGGCTTATACTTGAAGCAAAGTCAAGATCCCAAAGCACCCCTTCCCTACCCCCACCATCAGCCCACACCCTAGACACCATGCCCTCCTGTTCCACACCCATGAATCAGAATACGCTTCTACAGGGATGCGAGGAAAGTTATAATGAGTTTGTATAGACCTGAAAAGTAATTTTTCTCTAACTCCTGGGGCACAGAAAGGAATCAAGCAGCAGGCCTATAAGAAATTCAAATGGCCATACTTTTCCTTGGCCTTTGTGTAAGCTGGGTTTTCACCAGAGCCTGGTTTGTTGACAGAACTTAAAACATTTGTATTTCAAGACAGAGGATCTGTTCTCTTTGCACTAAACCACAGGCCATGGGACAAGGAATGAGGCAGAGGGGCCAGGAGCATGCAATGGAGACTGCCAGCAATGTAAAGTTTGCAGTCCCAGAACATTTTGGATCATGAATTGCAAGCTTCACAAATGCTTAAGAGTAAATCTTCCAGAATGCTCTACAAAGTCCATGAGGCTGTTCTACTGATGGTGGATCCATCATTTGGGACTATCATATTTATGTTGGCAAAAGTTTGTTGAGCACCTACTGCAGAGCAGTCATAAAGTCCTTTCTTATCCATTCATTCTTCACTTCATCTTCTCCTGCACAGTCTGAAACCAAACCAACTGTTTGGGCATTTATTTGTATTAGAGTGTTAAGTGGTCACTTATTCGTTCTACATGCAGCAGTAGTTTGTATTCTATATTCAAAGGCATTTCTACACAGTGACAAATGAAAGTGGCCATGCTAACATACTCCAAAGTTATTTCCACAGTTTTTATTATGTTATTGATCATTACAATTCTCTTTTTGTAAAATATATTTTATTGATTTCAGAAAGAGGAAGGGAGAGGGAGAGAGAGAGATAGAAACATCAATGATGAGAGAGTCGTCATTGATCGGCTGCCTCTTGCACACCCCCTGTTGGGGATTGAGCCCGAAACCCAGGCATGTGCCCTGACCAGGAATCTAACAGTAATCTGCTGGATCATAGGTTGAGGCTCAACTGCTGAGCCACACCAGCAGGACATGACAATTCTCTTTAAAATATCAAAGTTTAGCCAGTCCAGTCATAGCTCAGTAGTTGAGCGTCGACCTAGGATCCAGGAGATTATTGTTTGATTCCCAGTCAGGGCACATACCTGGGTTGCGGACTTGATCCCCAGTCCAGGGGCATGCAGGAGGCAGCCGATCAATGACAACTCTCTCATCATTGATGTTTCTATCTCTCTCTTCCTCTTCCTTCCTCTCTCTGACATCAGTATATATATTTTTAAAATCAAAGTTTAGTGCTGTGCTATTTTACATGTACTGTTTTAGTTTATCCTCATAATAACCATAAAAGAAAAATGTCTTCTTATCAAATACTCTAAAAAGTTAAAGTGAGTTGGACAAAAACATATTGATCCAAGACTCAGCAGAAAATTTCTTTCTTCAAATGCCATTTTTTTGAGCCAACATGGTGTTTTATAATCTTGATGTTTAAATCCCATTTCTACAGCTTTTCAAATCCCTTCTCCTACCAGTTCTATATGTGAATATGCTCTGTCCTGGTTTCCCAGTTTCATGATTGTTTTTTGTCTGTTTCCTTCCTCCCAGAAGGACAGGGCTTTGTAAGTGAGGATGAATACCTGGAAATCTCTGACATCAAGCGTGACCAGTCTGGGGAGTACGAATGCAGCGCCTTGAATGATGTTGCTGCTCCTGATGTGCGGAAAGTCAAAATCACTGTAAATTGTGAGTGGACCATTGGCAGGGAGTTCCAGGGGGAAGGCGGAGTAGGGACTAAGGGAACACGCTGCTAATGGCAATGCCGTTTTCTGACAGACCGAGTTGTCTCCAACAGGGAAACACTTGATCAGATGGTTGTGCCCTGGATCTTCCTGTGACTGCCGCAGCTTTTAGCCAGTGGGGAGAATTGTTAGCTTTGAATTGGCTTGATATCCTAAAGAAGATGCTGGGGTAAATGCAATATCTTCAAGCAAGAAGTTTTTTCCCCTTTTTAAATGGGGAGAATTGCTAGCTTTGAATTGGCTTGATGTCCTAAAGAAGTTGCTGGGGTAAATGCAATATCTTCAAGCAAGAAGTTTTTTCCCCTCCTTAAATAGACAGTTATTTAACTGGGAAGGTTGGGTGTCATAAGAAATCCATTAGCAGAGCAGGTGACTGAATGCACCTTCTTCCCTCACAGACCCTCCCTATATCTCAAAAGCCAAGAACACCGGTGTCTCCGTGGGTCAGAAGGGCATCCTGAGCTGTGAAGCCTCTGCCGTGCCTACAGCGGAATTCCAGTGGTTCAAGGAAGACACCAGGTACCTTGGAGATGGAAACAGGGTGTGTCTGAGCAGGGCTGACAGGGTGTTTCCCACATGGAATGAGATGGACAAATAAAAGGGGAAACCAAAATGCACTGAAGCCTTCTTTAAAAGGAGCTACCTCTAGAACCAGAAACAGCAGCAACAGCAACACATGGAGGAATCAGGGAAATGGGCAAAATGAGTTGAGAGTGTTTCCGAATCTGAGAGTAGCTGTACGCAGTCTCCGATGACTAGGAGGCAGTAAGCTTAGTCTTTGGAGCATGAGCGTCTTTCCCTTTTCTTCCTAATGGGAGCTGTGGTGCTTGTGGTTTGAGTTACAAGAGCTGGGTTAGTCAGAGGGAAGGGTGTTTGTGAGCAGGAAGACCTCCTTGTAGGGTTAACCGGTGGGATCTTAGTTCTTCCAGCGCCTTCTGTCTGCTATTTCACTCTGTTCCTAGAACCAGACCAGCAGTGCCTTCTCTATTACAGGCTAGCAACCGGCCTGGACGGCATGAGGATTGAGAGTAAAGGGCGCATATCCACTCTGACTTTCTTCAATGTTTCAGAGAAGGATTATGGGAATTATACTTGTGTGGCCACAAACAAGCTTGGGAACACCAATGCCAGCATCGCACTGTATGGTGAGTGCAGGAAGCCTGGGTGCAGTGGGCTCGGCCAAGTGAGGGGCTCGGGGGACTCAAGAGGGAGGAAGGCATGTTCTGCTTGGCCTATGTCCATCCATACTGCTCACCCCACCACCCTTAGGTACAAAATGCTTCTTCCTGTCATTCTCCTGGCATGTGATACAGTGATGCTTACAAGGTAATTGATATCTCCTGGTCTACTGAAAGGCAAGGTTTGCACCTTACAAAAGGGGTAAACCAAATTCTGACCCAAGTTGAATGGTGGTTGCCATAAAGAAAACAGAACCAGGGAATAGTTCACTTGTAGTGCTATACAAATGTCTGGTAGGTAAATTAGATGTAATTTTCAGATAACTTTTATAAGTAAGAGTCTATGATTTTGTGGGGTTATATTTATAGTTTTAAGCCAAGTCGACTGCTGCCATCATGATTCTCGTGCTGATTGCCATGTCATGTCCTCATTCATTGGATGAACAGAGCAGTCTTCTGAGCTCTTGTCAAGAGGACTGTTCTGTCCTCAGCTGGAGCATCAGGCCCTTCTCTGGAGGCCTTTCTCTCCCATGGGGATGGAGAGCTCTCCAGTGCCATGACGGCCTCACTTGGAAGCCCTCTCCTTCTCTCACCAAATCTTCCCACACTGCTGTGTCCATCTCCTTGTGCCATGTTTTACACCTAGGACCAGGGCCAGCTTGTTGTGAGATTTCTTGTGTGTATGTATTTGCTTATTTGCTGAGATTTGGTTAGAGGGAAGGATCTGGTGAGTAGAATGGAAAGGTATGCATTTTCCCATGTGCACATCAGACACCAAACAAGCTTTTGGCATTGACATTGACTAAACTATGTCCACCAACCATCTGAAATGTGTGATCTATGTCTTCTGTTTTCTCTCTGCATGGTGTGTGCATTGTGCTGTGTGTGTCTTAGAAATAAGCCCCTCATCAGCAGTGGCAGGTGGGTACAGCATGTTCCTTCCTTCCTCTGCCTGCCTGAATGCCTATGCGTTTGAATGTGAGTCTACTTCAAAGATAGGCTTGCCTGCTCCACCTCCCTGGTTGATTTCTCCCTAGTAGATAGAGTTCATGGACCTGGTTTGTACAGTTTAAGTAGCAAGCATGTAGACTATGATGGTTTTTACATGCACACATATGAATACCATTATATGTTTCAGGGAAAGGATTCCCTCTCCCCCTCCCCCCCAAAATAAACTTCTCCTTGGTGACCTTTAAAAAGGATGCACATTCTGCTATTTCTGCACAGAGCAGCACCAAGAGGAACCCCACCCAGAGACCAAATGGATTATCAGATTATTATCTTCGTGGGGAAGTCACTTTAGTATGAATGTTATACTTTCAGCCCAAGGCAAAAAGGGCTAAAGACACAATTCTAAAATCTTCATTTTAAAGTAGAAGTACTTGGAGTCATTAATACTAATAATAAAATCTAATGATTTCTAGACATCATGTTAGTATATGCAAGACAGGTTATTAACCCTATTTTAAAGATGAGTAGAAAGGAAGAATAAATAAAGAGGTTAAGCAACATTGAAGTACACATAGCTCGTGAATAGATATTGGGGCCCTCATTAGATGCTGGGTTTTACCCAGAAGACAAGTAGAGTGAGACATAAGCATATGCTCATCTGTTCAGATGAAGCAGCAGGTGGTGCTCAGCTCTGCTTCCAAAGGCAGAAACCCCACAGCCCTACTGTTCTATGATCACTCTCAGTCACATAGAAAGTGCTGACATTTGAATTTCCCACACCTGGAAGCAGCTTTGCAACTGTCACTCTTCACAGCTCTAGACAATCACAGGCCACTCACTCTGCCCACACTTTGAGGTCTACGACTGTTTATCCTTGGTATTGATAAAACCAAAAGGAAAGGGTGGGATTAGAGTGCTCAGCCACTGGCCCTGCTACCACCCCCTTAGATAGTGAGGTTGTCAGTGGCAGGAAATACGGTCAACAGAAGAATCCTAGGACTGACCACTAGATGATCCAGGCTTTTGTCCCTCTTTATCATTAACTAAGGATATAGGTGTGACATTGTCATTCAAATATATAATAACAACAGCAGATATATCTGGAGGTCTGAAGTCCAAGGGGAAGTCAGGAAGATCTATCACCTGTTTTTCACGAGGGCTCTGTTTCTGGCTTGTAAATGGCTACTTTACCCTCATGTGGCTTTCCTCTGAGCATCTGTGGAGAGAAAGAGATAGAAAGATTGGAGATGGAGATGGAGGTGGAGATGGAGATGGAGATGGAGATGGGGATGGGGATGGGGATGGGGATGGGGATGGGGATGGAGATGGAGATGATGGAGATGGAGATGGAGATAGAGATGGAGATGGAGATGGAGATGGAGATGGAGATGATGGGGATGGAGATGGAGATAGAGATGGAGATGGAGATGNGATGGGGATGGGGATGGGGATGGGGATGGAGATGGAGATGATGGAGATGGAGATGGAGATAGAGATGGAGATGGAGATGGAGATGGAGATGGAGATGATGGAGATGGAGATAGGGATAGAGATGGGGATGGAGAGAGGGAGAGAGATGATTGCTCTTTGGTGTATCTTCTTATTAGGACACTAATCCTATTGAATCAGGTCCCTATCCTTATAAGCTCATTGAATCTTAATTGTTTTTTTATAGTCTCCATTTCCAAATACACACAAGGGAGTTAAGGCTTCAACGTATAAACTGGGGGAAGGGGGGCACAATTCAGTCCACAGAAAGGACATAGCTTTATATCCCAACTTGGCCAACCACATTCTAGCTAGTTCACCTTGCTGAGCCCTACTTTCCCCATATATGCTATTGGGATATTAATACCTGCCTTAAAAGGCTAGTGAAATCCTAAATAAAGTCATATATGTGAAGAGAGTCCCACAGATTCCATGTTTAGATGTGTGACTTTGACAACATGCAAAGACTACAGGCCTCAGTTTACTCAGCTAAAGTTGGGGTGCTCTTTCCTGGCCCACTGATTGTCATTATACATTTTCAATAATATGATGTTCATCACAGAGATGTGGCAGACTGAAGACTGTTGTATAAATATAAGGTACTATAGTTAATGATGGTATTTGCCAGTGCTTCCCACGATGTAGCCCATCTTATCACTGCTCTTGATAAGGCTTCCAGAATTATTGCTCAGGTGGACTTGTGCTTCCCTTTCCTCCAGAGTCTCTTGTCCACTTTTATTAATGCACCATCAGTCCCCATAACTCACCATATCTTGCTTCATTCTGTTAGTGTCTCCTCCCCTTTCAGCATCCCTTCCTGAAGGAAGCTTTCTCTGACCTCTAAGTGCAGATCAGTTCCCCATTACCCACCCTCTCACATCACACTTCCGAATGCTGCATTCAACATAGTGGTTCGCCAGCCTTCATTCAACAAATGTTCATCAAGACCAGCGATGAGCCAGGCTGCTCTAAGTGATGAGATACAGTGGTGACACACAGATTGATGCCTATCTCTATAGACTTCACCTTCTAGTTGCAGTGTAATTTTTAATTCATTTATTTAGTTTGTTTTATCACAGATTTTTTTTCCCACTTCAGCCTATGTGCTCCATGAACATAGAGACCATGTCTGGCTTGATGCTGAAAACTTAACACAGTAGCTGGTTGGGAAATTTTTGTTGAATGAATGAGTGAGTGAGTGAGCATATGCAGAGACTGGAGGGATGTGTTGGTGATTCCAGGGACTGGAGTTCAGCTCAGGAATTAAATGTGACAGGACAGATAGGACCCACAAATCTTGAAGCATCTTTGAAGCCAGTTTCTGCTGCTTGCTCTGAATGGCTATGGGAAAGTCAATCTCGGTGAGCTCTGGGGTTTTTATGAGTGCAAGCATTTTTAATAAGATGTTCTCCATGGTCCCCACAAAAACTAATTCTCTGATACTGTGCCTGAGTGGCAATCACTTCAACACCATGTTAAAGTGATGTTGTCTAGTTGACAAACCTTTCCTGATGTCTAGGAATGCTCTTTCTAGTCCTCAATGCCCCATAATCATGACTAAGTATCACTAGCCACTTACTGCCTACAGGGCCACTAGACTGAGTGTTCTACATGTTTTACTTCATTCAGCGACTCTAGGACGTAAATGCTATATTTATCCCAATTTTACAGAGGAGGAATGTGAGAGGTTAGGCAGATTATTTAACTCGCACTGGCTTATAAATGCCTGAGTTGGAATTAACTCTATGTGTCCTGGTTCCACTGTCTCAGCTCTTTCTATTTCATTACAACACACAATACTTGGCAATCCATCACAGATTCTGGCAGATCACCTTCTAGATGGAACCGCATGTTAATAATCAGCCTGCTTAGACCTATTTTTCACACCAACATCTCCCCTCTTCTATCTAAATCTAAACCCATTATTTTAAAGGATAATTTTTACATTTATAATCCATGTACACATACTTCCAACACACACACACATACACACACACACACCACATTCCCAGGCATGCATTGGTGTTTGTCCTTGAGGACTGTAAGTTTCTTTTTTGGAGACCTTTGACTCTGCACTGAGAATCCACATCAACACACTCTCATAATAGACCTCTTACCCAAACACATCCCGCATATACTTCCTACCTACATGCGGAGAACAAAGAAAAATGAGATCAAAGCAATTTCAGAGAACAGAGAAGACACAGACAGTGGGGACCATGGGTGGGGAGGGGGTTGAAACAGGAGGTGATCAGGTCAACTGTGAGAGGCGGCGTAGGTAGGTGGTAGATGCCCATAGGTGAATCAGCGTTTGGCATCGATATGAGAGGTTTGCTTCTTGAACACCAGTTACTGTCCCTTCAAAAGCCACACACAGGATAGGTGATATGGGCAGTGTGCCAACTCAAAGTGGCATTTCAGCCTGTGTACTTTCTTTATCCCCAGCAACTGCAGGTAGTGGAAAAGCAGCAGAATGGAAGGAACAGACCAGTACTAGGAGCAAGGAAAACTGGGTTCCGGTCCCCACC